AACGTGCCCTCCCGATAGCCTGCGCTGCTGACGTCGATTACGATGCCTGTTTCGGCAAGGAAGTCTCTGCCCAAAATAATGGGCACCGATAGGCCAGGGAGATGAACGAAGCGTTGTCGTCTTACTCGATTCTCCCATCTCGCGACCAGCCGCGCGGTACCAGCCGAAACGGCGGTTCCGCAGGCTAGGCGAAAGACAGTGTTGCATTCTCGGAGTCGGACAGAATTCTGTCGGAGGTGAGTCAACACTTCGTCGCCGAACATCGAAGCGCTTGCTCCGGTGTCGAGGAGTGCCTTGAATGGCTTGCCGGCGATCGTTACAGAAATGAACGGGGCCGGCGTGCCGGTCGGGAAGCCTATTCTGTAGGCGGTCGGCAAAAGAGTGGCCATGGGACCCTCTGATTCTTTGTTAGCCACCGGTCCGTCCGTCCAAGGGCCGTTTACCGGTGGCTTTGCTCGTTTCCCGCACGGTGCGATTCCGTGTTCGGCCGCTCCGGGCACTGGCGAGCGAGATGACCGGGGCGATTGCACCGAAAACATCTTCTGTCGTCGCCTCGCTGGGGGTTCCGCCGTGCGTTTTGGTTTTCGCCGGCTCTGTCGTAGCGTGCATCGGCTCGCTGAGATTGAGGGATCCTCGTTTCCTCCTGCCTCGCTGCCTCGTTGGGGCGCGAGTCGGTGGTTCTGAACTGCGGCGTCGGCCGGCTTGTTCGTCTACCGTAGGAGTACGGGTCGAGCGCACGATCTGAGATTGCGTACGTGTCTCGGCCCCGATCTTCCGCATAGTTTGCGGAATCGTAGCGCCTTGGTGCTCGGGATGGCGTGTCCCCGCTCCACGCGCAGCGCGGTTCGAGGGCCGCTGACGCTGGAGGCGGAGGCCGGTACGCACGGGCAGCGAGAATGTCACCCTGAAGGCGCCGGGCCTCGGAGGCGAGCTCGTTCAGGTCGCGGAAACGGCTGCCTCGAAGATACGCAGCGAAAGTCGGGTGGCTTTGGCGTATTACGCGTTCCACTCGCTCTGCATGGGGAGCTGAGGGTTCCGCGAGCTCGAAGAGCTCTTGCATGGCTCGTACAAACTCCAGCAGGGACTCGTCCGGATGCTGGGTTCGCTGTTCGAGCTCCCGCCGCATCCTTCTCTCGTAGTCGGCGGGAAGGAATTCGCGGCGGAACGCCTCTCGGAACTGATCGAGCGTTCCGGGTTGGTCACCGACAAGTCGGAACCAGCGGGCGGCTTCGTCGACGAGAGCGATTGGCAGAATGCGCTCAAGTATTTCACGATCGGACATTCCCATCGCGCGTTGGTACTTCCGTAAATCGTCAAGGAAGTCCGTAGCGCTCGCTTTGTCTGCGTAAGCCCGATAAGTCGGGACGGGAATTTGGACCGGAGGTCGTTGGGTCTGTGGTGCGAGTGTTGTCGTTCGCAACGCACCTGTCAGACTCTCAATCACACGTGCCGCGTTTTCGAGCAAGGTGTGATGATGCGCCGCAGCGGTTTCTCCGTGGGGAGACCGATAGGCTTCGCTTTGTGCCGGCGGCGGAGCACGCGTGTTCAGGGAAGATCCGGGAGCGATGGCGCCCGTTCGCAATGGCGTCAGAACCACGCTCGGCTCCAGGGGTGCGCCGTAGGGCGCTTCTCGTTGGAGGGTTGGCATTTCGGCTTCCCGTTGAAGTGGGGACCAAGCGAATGCATCGGCCGCGGTCGCCAGCGTGAGCAAATCCGAGAAGTCGGTCTGCATTGTCACGGTAAGCGCTGGTTGCGCGAGGACTCGTCACTCGGCAGCAGTCGCCACAGAGACGTACCTGGGTTCTGGTCGTCAGCCCCACGTTGGGCGCCAAATTGTGGTTCTCCTTAGGGCCACTGCCTTTGGGAGTTCCACGTTCGCGGCGAGACGCTCTACCGCGAAGCGGGTTCGTACTCGCGTGGCATGCTGCTCGTTGAGCGCAAACAGACACCAGTCACGTTGGTAACGGTGATAAACTGTTTATTTACAATGAAACAAATAACAACAACACAGCGGCTATAAGCTGGTGAACGCCGTCGGTGTGGAGATCGCCCACGGCCGAACGGTCGTTCACAAAGGTACAAAGTACGGGGTAAACGCTCACCGGTGCGCCGGAAGGGTCCCCGTTGTCGCCGCCGCCGAATCCCAGGAAGAAGAGACCAGCGAGACTGCTGTCCGCTGGTTTTAAGATAACGGCGGGGGCGAAGTGGCCAATCAAAGAGCGACACGTCGATCTCCTTTGTGCAGGGGTTCGTCACGGAAATCGCCCAAGGGGGAGAGGAGGAAGCCACTCACAGTGGTAAGCAGCGCCACCTCTCGCTACGTCGGCGCGGCCGCCACGGCGTGCCAAAACGCTGACGCGACAGAATGTTGAGGGATCACAATCCCCACAAAATACAGGCAAGGACGTGCCTTGCGGGGAAACAAACTCATGGCTTCGAACCGCATTGGAGCGGCTTAATTTAATGGCTTTCAAATAATTACGGAATGACCGAGCGTTTGCTTTTTAATAAGAGATTCATCCCCTGAGCCATTCAAAATACTCTCAGAGGTATGACACTGCCGGAAAAAAAAAATCAACATGCTGGGAACATTTTTTATTGCTTATTCAGTCACCGAGAAATTCCGTCTGTTCGAAACGACCAGTATAAAAGACGGAAACGCAGAGCACTGGTGTAGCACTGGTGTTCGGGTCAGTGCGGTGTACCGTTGTATTGATATTTGTGTGCGCCGTGTATGTGCTCAATGTATGTTCACCTGATGCTTGTACTATGCTTAATGTGTGTATAGTAGAGGATCCCCAAGCGCCATGGTAGCCTCAGAAAATCAAATTATTTTTCGTAGAACATGTATCTGGGTATCGGTTGTCTCCGTTTAACATCGCAGTGCTGTCGACGAGAAGACTGAGTTACTGCTTTTGAAACGCAAGTTTCTGTACCTGTGAGGGGAATCTGGCTTCGGAAATAAACACAGTTCGCGGAAAGCTCGTGTTACGCTTTTATTTGCTGCTCGTCACGTCCCGTACAAGAGACCTAGCGTCCTCGTCAAGCCTTATTGGGCTTGATTTGCTTGATTCGGGGCCGCCATACTGAGATGCAAGCGACGGAGGAACTTTACTCCCCTGCTTCAGGGACGAACGTTTCTCCCTTTCTAAAGGAACATAGGCTACAAGACCGTTCCTCCCCTAAGGGAGGACTATCCATACTCTTTTTTCCAAGAGTGTACTGTCTTCAAAGTAACCGAACGGCTGCAAGTGTGCCTTGGCGCTTCGGCCCCAAAAGTGCTCCACCGCAAGCGGTGAGGGCTTACTCTGTCTTTTGCCGAACACGGGGCTGCGTACTCGCAAAAAAAAAAAGAACAACAAACAAATCGGAAATTAAGTAAATGGGCAAATTTTGGGCACTGTAACTTGCGCGTTTTCATGGACGTCAAATTGTCTGCTTTCCGGGGAAAGAGAAAGAGGGGGCTGCGGTTTAGGTAAACACGCATTAATGATTCCCTCACTAGCCGTCAATCTCCTCCTAGACTTGCTTACGCCTATTGCGTAATCAAATCTGGTAGCTGTCTAAAGGCTAACGAGTAAATCACACCACCAGCTCGTCCCACCGCGCGAGACGTACGTACTGCTCCGGGTATGGGCGATTTCAGACTTATCGCCTCCCGGCTACGTATCCGAGGGTAAGCGGACCCGGTCTACCCAACTTCGGTGGCGGTGGAGGCAAAGCGTCCGTCGGGGTATGCCGCGGCCGATGTGCACTCCCTCTGTGCAAAACAAATCCGGGCATTTCATGCGTTAGATTTTGTCTCAAAGTAACCGTTTTTTTTTTTTTTAAATCTTGTGTCGATTGGCGCGTTTAATCTTCATCACGGTCTCATCAACAAGATGACGAAGATTTTGTTCAGCCACCTGGGTTGCGCATTGATTACGCGAAAATGAACACCACAAGGAAAGTGAGTGATCTCTCTTCACATGCAAAAACATTCTTTAATTACTCGTGACAACAAAATCAAAGACCCACAAACTCAAGGATAGAGAAAAAAAAAAAAAGACAAAAATGCATGAAAATACGCGAAATAATAAGAGTTCACTTTCGACTGCAGTCGTATGGTCAGAGGCATTCCTTCCGGAAGTCTATCTATTTACAATGAAGGCGACCGATTTTATCTGGTTGTATGCACACAGTGTTAACGCTGTATAGAGGCTAAAGAGCAACTGAGACGAAATGCGGCATCGTTGGTTTCTCGATATCTTGCCGGATTCGGTGACGTATAAAATACATATTTCGATGATACTTTGACGTGTGGGCATTATGCAACGTCAATGAAACTTCGGAGACGTGTCCCCGAAAAAAATATTCGTTCTAGCGCACGGGGAGGCAAGCGCGATCGACGCCTTCCCATGTTCCGGTCCGAAATCACCGAAACCATCAAATCACTTTAGTGAAAAAAACGGAGCTCCTGCGGCCTCGAGAAGCTACGAGTGACTTACTTCCAAATATTCACATTTAATTTCACGTAGTCCACACTTCTATGCTCGTCTTTATGTGTTTATGTATTTTATTGGCTCGTTGTTAACAGCACTTCGTCAAAATAAAAATAAAAACAAAATAAAAAAAAAGCTTTGAGCGCTTTTTATTGTATAGGCCTTAGAGCAATAAAAAGAACCTGGTTATGCTTATATGATTTATTAAAACCACAAATAATGTTTATTAAAATTCTTGGGAAAAAATACTTATCCCGTCACATGTGATATGTGACGGGATGAGTATTTTTTCCCAAGAATTTTAATATTACTTGTGGTTTTAATGAATCATATAAGCATCACCAGGTTCTTGTTGAAGCAATCGCTATACAACCTGAACGAGAATGTCAACGGAACGTCGTTACGATATCCACTCCGTGCCTTGCACGTACAATGAGCTAATTCAGTTGTAAACAAAACTAAAATCAAGGGAAGTGAAAGAGCGTGTTATGGCTCGAGCTCTTAAATTAGGCCAGTGCTTCGCGCTGCTTTGTTTCTCTGTTTTCCCTTGATTTTGTTTTGTCGGCGTCGGGCACAACACCAAGAGCGACTCCACCGAAAGACTGAGGATTCTGATGCACCCTCCCGGATAATGGAACTAACCAGTCCAGCCCAGCGAACCGACTCGCCCATCACTCTTTCTTGGTGAGCCTGTACTTGAGGAGGATGAAGGCGATGATCCTGAACACCACCTCGAACGCGACCAGCGAGAGCACGAGCACGTAGAACTTCTTGTCCGAGGTCCCGGTGAACTGGAGGAACTCGGCGGGGTTCTCGTAGAGGCAGATGAACTCGTCGCAGGCCAGCGGAGGCCTGTCGTAGCCGTACACCGAGAGAAGCATCCCGTGGTACGCGTAGTGCATCGGGGAAAGGTAGGTGAGCCAGCGCACGTACGGGCTGACCAGGTGCGCCTGGACGAAGAAGCCGCTGAAGAAGAAAGACGGAGACACCGCCGGCAGCGCCACGAACACCGCCGTCTGGAAGGAAAAGCAAAAACGGTTGGAGGCCGGTATGGTAACTTTATTTGTTTACTTTAAGGTTCCTATTCACTAACGCGCGGTAGCGCTGCTGGCTATCGATGCGGTGTTTTGGCTAGATGGCGCAAGCCGCCGCCCGATTAAAAAAGTTCAGCTGTATCAATCCATCCGTCCGTAAGCGCAGACGCTTCCCTCACGCGAATCTAGTTTCTACGCAAGCACAGTCTCCACGCCTTTTGCGTTCGTCTATAGTCACTGACAAGATGAGAACGGCGGGGAGAACTTTCTTGATTCTCGCATGGTTCTCGGGCCCGAGACATGCTTTATCTCCCTCTCTCGAGTCGAGGCACATCCAGCCCATTGCTCCAGCCGGGCAAAACTGAGAGTCAATAGGCCCGCGCCAGGTTGGGCCTCGAAAGGTAATCCAGTGCAGTGCTCCAGTGCACTTGTAGCCAAAGTACGTCGGTAGGTAACATGGATTGAAGTAGAATAGAAAGATAAGCCAGTTGGCATGATTGTGTCTCGTTTGAAGCTCGAAAACAGAGTCATCCCCTAATAACGTTGGCAAACTCATAACTAATTCTGCAATTCTGACACCCCCAAGGCTCTGCTGCGATGAAATATACTCTGTCGAAATTTCATTCTCATTGGCTTCCTCGCAGCGTAAGCGTAGGTCCAACTAATGCAATCTACTGATCGCATCGAGCAAAATTAAGAAGCAAAACGCAGTTTGAGAAAATTCTGTGCGTAACATGAAATTCCAATTTGCTCGTATTTTCTGTGCAGATCGCGGTTTCAAGCTGAACCCTTTATTGCGCCTCATCATTAACTGTATGCACTCCGTAGATATCAGTCATTGGGTCTCGGTGAACTATGCTTCTTGAAAAAAACTGCCGATATACTGCACCCGAAGCACAGAAACCTGAAAGGTTTCTACTTCCACAACAGCATATGATGACTAGATGCTATCATACAAACTTCCCAAGGTTCTAAGTTATCTTAAGGCCACGGTCCCACTGAATGTGGCAATTTAGGTACTTTTTGGCAGGTCATTACTCATCTCCTTTTGAATGCTGTTTTGTGGGACTTATGTCTTTCGAAAGGCAATGCAATCCTCTTTTATTTATATTATGTATGTGTTGGTTTTTACTGTTCATGCGCGTTTGTAGCGTTGCGAATATGATGGCGCGGACCCTCACTTGCTCCGCTAGTTCATGTTTTATGAACGATCCATTAAAGATAGCACGGTTCCAATATAGCCGTTTTGTTAAGATGATGTCGGAGCAGAATGTAACGATACACTTTTTTGGTATTTGCACTACTTTGTTTTTTTCATCCCTCCAAATATTGCCCTAAAATTGATATTTTTCAGCACAAATATGTTTTTAATGACAAATGTTAGGGCAATGAAATTAGCTACAGATGTAGTGCTTATAATTGGTAATATGCAGAAAAAAATTTAATGTTGTGTAAATTTTTTTTTGTTTAGATATTTTATATCAAACGTGACACTTTTTTGTGCTTCGAGTCATGGTACTTCAAATGCCGCTGAGGAAATAATTGAACTATGATAAAATCTTTTATAACATTTAGAGCTACAATGGTTGCCTAAGAGGTGGACGATGGCTTTTTTTCATTTTCAAAGTAATAATGCTCCAGGAGCCCTTCAAACTTATCTGTTTTTGACGCATATCTTTTTTGGACATCAAACAGATTTATAGGCATTTAATAACATTTATTGTTTGGAATAGACATACATTGTGATGTATTAAATTTTCACAATGATTTTGCTTTGGTTTCTTAATAGGTGTAGAGCTTAGCTAATTTAAGAACAATTAAAAACTTTTTGGGTGTTTTGTTGCGCTACCTGGCGGATGGCAGACAAACTGCTGATTTCTAGTGTTCAAAAAATTTCCGAGGGCGGCGTTGGCGTCTGTATCATCATCAATCTCCGTGTCTTTTTACCTTCACATTTAAGAAATATATTGGAAGATTTACTATCGATAAATGAAGGGTATAAGTACTGGGTCAGGTTAATAAATCTAAGACAAATAATTACACACGCGTAGCGTGATATAATGTGTTAATTATTCGATATGATTGAAATCAATAAACAATGAACTCGAAGAAGAAAATAATACACCCGAGTTCACTTCATGCCTAGAGTCACTACATGAGCTTGCAAGTATCGGCACTCCGTTCACCGAAATTGTTTTGGGCGCCGCCATTTTGGGTCTTGTTCAGAGCAAACGCAACTGCCGATCGTCATGATCCAAAAGTGCGACATTCTCAGGATTAGATGCGGTGCTAGGAAGCTGATGCAATATTGCAATGCTCTGTCACGGGTTGTTTAAACATTTGTGGGGGACGGAAAAGCGTTTCTTGTGATTTTAGATAAAGCTTCAGGTAACTGGCAACCATGATTTTAAACCACAATATGGCCAAGTGTCGTTACTCTGAACCGTAGCTAATTTACTGGCACAAGCGGGAACAATGAAGAAGAGGCAGGTGTAAAAAGGTAGTGGTTTTGTGGAATCCACGGGGCTTACGTCATAGCCCCTCCAGGTATTGCGAGCCTCTTGAACAAGAGCATGAATAGTGTCATTAAATAAGCTACGCGTCAGAGTAGCGACACTTGGCCATATTGTGGCTTAAAATTATGGTTGCCAGTTATTTGAAGCTTTATCTGAAATCACAAGAAACGCTTTTCCGTCCTCCACTTCAAACAGTGTGCGACAAAGCAAAGCAACATTACATGAGCTTCCTAACACCGAATCTAATGCTGAAGATGTCGCATTTTTGAATCAACACGATCGGCAGTTGCGCCTGCTCTGCTCAAGCACCAGAATGGCGGCGTTCACAACACTGTCGGGGAAGAGAGTGCCGATACTCTAAGCGCAGCTAATTTATTTGCTCTAGTTCCCGCGAAACTCCTTTTCCCTGACTGAAACTGAAAGTAAATATGAATAATGCACCATTATTATAGCTTATTTAGTTATAACCAACTACACATAATGAGAGGAGGAACCGGCCGGGTAGGAGAAACGCGGGTTTTATGTGCGACCGTTCTAACCGTCTCAATAGAGAGAACGCGCGAGCTTGTGCTGGTTTAAAAAAAAGGCATCCAAAGAAAAGAGGCGGCACGCTGTGCTCTTTGTTATTATGCGTCTAGATGCAAATTGTTGTGTGTATGTTTATACAGCCGGAAGGTAGTCCGCCTTAGTGGGCGTCTGACTCTCAGCTGTAGATGAGCAATTTAGCCAGTGCGGTGCAACCACTTTAACATGCACCACGCAGTAGTGATACACGACCGCACGCCGGTACAATGCTCTTCCAGATCGAAACGGGCAGGGGCGGGGTGGCTTCTGCAGCGCGAGCTTTCGCTCTAAGTGCGCTAGACCATGCACTCCGCCACCGCCCCCCCCCCCCCCCCACTTGTGCGTCTAATTTATATACAGGTATAAGTATTTGAAGATCGACGATGGACGTCGATCGTCTCGAGGTAATGTAACGTAATAACATTAAATAAATAATAAGCTTGTTGAAGGACTGAACGACTAAATTTTTCAATTCTTGGGTTGTAATATGTCGGTAGCGTATTGTACTTACTGTTGATGAAGAGCAATATGAGGTGACGAGGTAATGATTAAATGATGAGGCTCTATAAGGACGACGACATTAGTGGGTGTCGAACCACAACGTACAGTGCCAGACTTGTTTCAAGTATCGTGTACCCAAAGACTTTCTTCACATGCAACAGAATATGGTAGAATCAATGAGGATGCTGCTTTACAACTGCACGGAGAACAGGAAAACTGCACTGTGCAGAAGTGCGGCTTATTCGTTAATATGAGGGACGGATTTCTAGCAGCATCCCCTGAGTGACTACTTGGAACAAATGGCCTTGTTGACGTAAAGTGTCCCCGTTCCAAAAGATTCTTGAAGCATACTTAAACCGCAATGGAGTATGAGGCGAAAAATAAGAAAAAGGAGCCTGGTGTAAAAGGTCCAAATCACCACCATAGCTTCTACTATCAAATACAAGGGCAGTTACACAATACACAAAGAGAGTTTTGTGATTTAGTTATATTTACACTCAAGGGCATTGATATCCAACGTATTCAGAGAGATGACACCTTCTGGTCTACCGACATAGAGCCTTTTCTACTCAAGTTTTACATGGAAGGCCCGACTTCCGCTGAAATTCCTTACGTAGACGAGTTGTCCGACCGAATAAACTGCAATTACTCCCGATCTGGGAATCTCTCGATCTTCGTTCGTAAGCCATAGATAGTATTATGAGATCGAGGGGTGTGGCTCTTCGTCCGCCGAATATTGCTTCGGCGGGTGTTTTTACCGTGTAAGATGAGACCGTCGCGTGCTGCTGGAACAACAACCTGGTGATTCTTCACTAAACTGCTTCTTCCGTAAGCTTCAAAGGGTTTTTTTTTGTTGTTGTTTTTGTTTTTTTGCTTGGCACATATCTGTTCTGCATGCCCGTTAGTTGCAGGATGGTATGGTGCACTAATGTGATGCCTGATGCCGGTTTTTTTTTCTTCAAAAACTTGTTTATTTTGTTTGAAGCAAGATTTGGCGCGTTATCAGAGAGAAGTATTTTCGGTAGGGCAAAAGTAGGTAAAAGAGACCGTAGAACGTCAATGACGTGTTTGGACGTCGTGGCAGGCATCGTGTAAACTTCCAGTCACTTAGAGTGCGCATCGCCCATGACTCCGCAGATGCGGATACGTTTCGCCACCCACCGATTGAATAGTGGATCGTTTTCAGTTACTGTTCATGATGGCGTTGGACTCAAGGAAGACTTCGAGTCTTTCCAGAAAGTTAGCCCTGGTGCCAGGACTTTTGTCGAAAGCGGTAAGTGTTCGAAACGTCGACAACGTCGGTAGCCACGTGTTGTGCTTGACACTGGACACTTACCATTCGCTAAGAAGAAACTTGCTTGTTCGTCTGCCACGAGTCGTCCGATATCAGGTCATCACCGCAACACCATCTCCCGACAAAAACGCATGTCCGAAATTTAGTATCACGTGAACTTATAAATACCCGAGCGCTCATAACTTGCCGTTGCTAAACGCCGTTCATTCATAGCGTCAGCATTGCAAATAAACGTCTTCCTATTTCTTCTGATGGTTTTCATCATATTCCTCCTAAGCTGTACTTACAACATTATGTGTGTCGGTACTTCCAAAAATATTGCAACGGCGTTTGTTTTCTGGGAACCCCCTATAATGCAACTACCTTTACAACATCTTCCGGACACCGTGAAACACAATATTTCGTGACCGTTATTTTAGTCGTCATTAAAATGGTGAGGGAAGTACCGCAAATCGCGAAGCAGTTTACTTGACGTCCGTTTCCACTGGTGTCTTGGAAGATTGAGTCTACTGAGCGTGCATTCCTGCAGAAGAAATTTTCATTGATAGAATATTAACACGTCAATCAACATTTGATTCCTTCTTGGTAAGATTTATTGCGAAAGCCCGTTACAACCGCCGAACCGCATGTCCCTATATCAGAGAACAATTTATACCCAGTTTGACATTCTCGCATACATCCGTTTGCTGGACCACGCTACTTGAGCTAGCTGAGCACAGCTGGCAGCGGTGCGAGCAAGGCCACGAGGACAACGTGATGGTTCACGAGCCATCCCACTGTGAACCAATGTTTCGGCCACTCCACGGGTGCGTGTCGCCATCTATTGGTTAAACTAACGCCTTGTTCAAGATGGCTGCCGTGGGACCGCAGCCAAACTATTCTAGCTCTAATATCATAAAAACAGCATTTTTATGAGATATTTTTATTGAAAATATGGCTATTGCAGTTAGATTGAAAAATGAGTCACTTTTTTGTAGAGTTTATTTAATGAGTTACATATGTCGGGGCTCTCAATTGATTTATACATAATTTTGTGAGGAGCAATGCTCTGAAAGCTGTTGAATCTTGAACGTGCAGTGCTATTTTTTTTATTAGACTTCTTGAATACAAATTTTAAAATGACTTGTTAAATTTTTTCGTTTTGTCTGATAATTCGAGATAGCGCAAGAATTTCATTTGATTTTGTTTTGTGTGTGTGTGTGTGTGTTCTCTGCCCTGCTGCCACTTGTAAGGATGGTGGCTGATGACTCGTCAAGTTGTGTCTGCATACAGCTTTTTTCCTCAGACGTCTCCCCTCATACCCTTGACGGAAATAAACACTATTAATATTATTATACCTGAATGAACTATTATTTCAAAAGGGAATTAGGACTTTCTCATTTTTTTTTTGAATTTCGTTGTGTAAGGAGCTCCAGAGATTGCGCGTGAAACCTTACTCCACGAAGATTCGGCGGCAATTTAAAATTCAATTCCAAGCTAAGAGTCCTACCTGCAACTTGGTGACGGCCGAGACGATCAGTCCAAATGCTTGCGTCACAGAACACAGCTGAATGCTGAACAAGGCCAGTCCGGCCACACGCCACATGTCCAAGGGCTGAGAGGTCGGGTAGTAGATGAGCGCTATGAGCATGATTACCGGTACTGTCTGCGTGGTAGAAAAAACAAACACAAAACGCTATGTTGAGAACTTTGGATCAATTAGAACATCTATTCAGAAAGAGACGCATGTTCAGTAGCGATTTATACGTAAATTAGCTTAAAAATGGTTGCGAATTGTGCTAAGAAATGAATGGCCTAGTGTTATTCTTAGCTTTAGACCATGAGGACAGCTGGAATGCCTAGGGTTTCTCTTTCACTTGGAAGCAGCGTTATTTCATTCGAACCACTACCTATGAATAATAGATTGAAGTGCAAATGGGTGCTGGTTCGTTGCAATGTCTTCATCTCCACTATGTAACGCATAAATTACGAATTCCAGTTTAGTAAAAAAAAAAAAGCTGTACCTTGACTGTAACAATTGAACAATTATATTAGCGGTCAAGCACAACGCCTGTTAATGACTTTATGCCCTGTGCGCTTGCAAACAAAAAAATAAGACAAATTAAATTTTGTTTTCAAAATTTCTTTAGGTTTCTAGAGGCTTGAGAAATCGCTTTCTCAGTTTGTTGCACATTTTGTTTATTTTCTACACGTGAAATTTAGTTGTAATGTCCGACATAGACATCCAAAGTAGCGTTGTTAAGAGTGATGAAAACCCCGCATGGGTCACCCTGGCTCACTAAATCTTTCAGACTCTTCACACCTGCACTGTATCTTACAAGGAATGAATAACAAACCTTATTCTACACCGGTTAGCGCCGGAAAAAAAAATCTCGGAACTCGCTAGCACATTTTTTTCACAAGTGACGACGAACAATACCCAAAGCAAAGCGAACATGTAAAACAAAAACAGAGAATTTTTTATTTTATTATTTTGATGCTGAAAATAATGACTATACGCGCCTAAGAAGCAGTGGGTGGGCTTTCGATAAGGAGACTTTAGTTCCCGGTGAGTTCGCGCGGCATAGTGCAGAATGTCTAACCCTCCGGCCTCACGTCACTAAGTCTGGCTAGATGAAAAACAACCAGCTTACATGTTATTTTTATTGCTGCAAATATTGCTGAGACTGATATTTACTGTACACAATTGTCAAGGTTCTGGTAAAATCGCTTCTTTTGCTGTCTGGACTCAATTTGACATCAGGAAGTTTTCGATCTATAAAAATGTTCGCTCTTTTCTCAGTGTTCGAAGAAACACCCTAGCATCACCTTAGAGCCCGCTTACGATGTTTAATGTTAAAGAAAAAAAAAAGAACATTTAGGGCGAAGCGTAAGAAATAATTCAATTTTTGTATTGCGTAACTTACCAGGAACGGAATTTCTGTGATGTAATGAGCGAGGTAGTACATTCGGACGCTGTACCAGCAGTTTCTGTTTTCCCTAAGCAGGACAGACAGCTCAATGGGAACTGTAAGCGAAACAAGAAAAAAATCTCAATAAAACAAAGCTAGGTTGATCAAACTACTCAAATTCAAACAGCTTGTTCAATGCCACAATTTGTGTGTGGTACATAATGTCCGCGATCGTCCAACCTCTGCATTTTAAGTGTGTTTACTAATTGGCCTTCTGAAGTTATGAAGTTAAGCGTGCAAAAAAATGGCTTGTGTCTGCCACTGTAATATAGCCATATACATAAAACTGAACTGTGTTGCTCTTGTAAGTGTCCAGCCATGGCGAAGGGCAAATTTTGCTAGATGTTCAGAACTTTCGCAAAGGAATGATGAGACTTATTCTGGCGTCATTAAAATCGCTGGTGCACAACCTTATACACATAAATAAGAGTTTCGCAAATTGTTTGATATACAAGAAAGTATGAACAAACGAAACCCATTATGGTGGGCATTTGACGCTGTCTGGTTGCTACCAACAGCTCGTAGCGTTAGCCGCAACTAGAGGTAATGTGAAACGAACTATAGTGCTAGCGCTTGCCGTCTTAAATGAATGCTCTGGACGTTACACCTACATTGGTCGAGACGTTTAGCTATAATGGTGGTATCGCAAGGGGCAAAAAACGCAATCAGTCATTTATTTTGCTCACGCGACTTCGAGAGCGCGATGGCATCCTCGCAAGAACTTTTAGAACTACCAGTTTTATATTCATTCCCCGGACGCCCTATTACAGAACAAACAAAATTTTTCTTCAAATGAAAATCGTGAGCATCCATTTTTTCATATAAATTTGCTAGCTTTTACTGATAAACCGCAGTAATTGGGTCGACGTTTTGGTCTAGCGATTTCTTCGCTGGAAATTGTTTTCATGGGGGATTCTTCCTACTCACATACAATGACAGTGGGCAGAATGGACTGAAACATGACGATGCAGCACATGCCGAAGAACATGTTGGCATTGTTGATAACTGTAGAGGCTCTCCTTCCAATGTCGTAGTAGAGCATGATCATCATGATGGCGAAGGCAGCGTACGCCACGAACCTCAAGGGCGTTGCCACCTATGGATAGAGCGATGATTGCAATCATACACCAGTGTATATATTTCCAACGAGTTTTAAGGGATATCAATATATGCGATAATCATACATTTCTGGCATGTCTCATCATCACAAACATGCCCGCCCACCAGTAAGTGCGGAATTAACAGTTAATGCTTGTTAAGTGAGAAATATTGTGAATATTAGCTTTGAATAAAACCCGAACACCCATATGTCTTAAAATCGGAATTGGCGTGGTCTAGAACTAAAAAGCACGAGGTAGGCACGGGCGAAAAGGTTACACGTACAACACAGACAGGACCTACTTTTGAGCTGATATAACAAAGAATCAACCAAACAAAAGTGCACATTCTATTTTTGCTTTGTCTAACCACTAACACTGACAAAACAAAGCGTACAAAAACAAAATGTGTGTTTTTCACAAAAAAAAAAAAAAAAAAAAACGCTCGTAAATGAACACCAAGCGGAACTCAAAACGCGCTGCACATTCCCTCTCTTTTGATTGTAACCCTTCTTGGCTTTGTGCAGGATGCGGGCCTTCAGGACAGCACTTAGTACATTCTTCATTGTCCTCATATCCCTCATATTTTTCATACACTATTCCCTGTACTAAGCAAGCCTGAAACAAAATTATAGTCTTAATGACTGAGTTACGACTTTATTCGTCAGATTAAAGATAGAATTATAGTTTCTACATGTTTCGAACAGCTCACGTGTCATATTGCATGATTGATTGTTCTACGTTTATCATACTTGCGATAGCTCCTCCGCGTGTACTGCTCCGTGATGCACTCTGAACATCCATAATCGCAAACACGTACCACAGGTATTGCAAATCGATGATATCAGTTACGAAAATGTCCTACTTCCGCCACTGGAACTGAGTTACCATTAAAACACGATACTGATCGCCCTTATCATTGGTTGAACTGATTAAAAAAACGAAAGACTACTGGTTCGTGTTCCGAGTGCGAGGCAGTGTTGTGTGCACTCAGGAACATCTGAGGGCGCACTTGCACGGTGTTATTGTTATAGCTTCTTTTTGCAACCTTATTGGTAGGAACAGTCTGCACGAATTTTATTTTTGGAAGCACCCTAAAACCAATCAAGTCGCGCATAACAATAATCTAGCTTAAAATATCATAAACTCTTAAATATTTAACGACCTCGCAATTTTATGTGAAGACAACATTTGTTTCCGTGGCTTAAGGAAAGGCACCGTGAGCCAACGACACTTCCTTATGTAAATGCACCTAAGGCAGCCATTGTGCACTCGCGTATGTCTGCCAACGCCTGAAACCATTTGCGACGAATAAAAAAAAAAAAAAAAACTGCGTGGAAGCGTCATTTTTGTTGTCAACAAAATGGTTATGAGCCAGGTGCCCCTGCATATACTTATAAAAAACTGAGGAAGGTAGCTTCTTTTTGTTCGCCAGCTCCGATCTTCGGCCCACGACATCTCCAGAAGGGTATTATGGTACGAATCTCTCGTCAACAGGAAAAAAGAAAACGTCGATCATATACCTGCGGGGGTTTTTGTTCCACAAAATGCCGTTGGGAGCTCGTGCTATATTGAGGCAGTAGATAATGATGTAAGGACGCCGATATCCACAAGGAGAAGTCCAAACGCTCTTCAAACAGATTTTTTGCTTTATGCTTTCCTGTTATCTCTTCTAGGTCTTGTACCCTACACCCGAATGGGACTACAAAAAAGGTTTGTACTATGTCCTAAATACACAAGCAAACAAATGCAATGCCCGCTTGGTGCATTAATGGCAGTGTACGTTGTAGGCGCTACCGAAAATAAAAAAAAAGAACGAATCTGCGTTTCTTGTAACTTGAAAATAAAAGAAACGCGTTACCAACCTACGTTGCCTTAAATAAAAGTAAGGCGTTACCGTGGCTCATAAAAAGTAACACAGACTACTTTTGCGTTACTTTTCAGTTATAAGTAAACTTTTCTTGTGTTTGCGTGGGTAAAAAAGGCAGATTTTTTGAAGGTATGTGGGATGAGTGCAATAATTATTGGCACTCAACCCCATCCCACTTGGCGCCAACAAAAAAAGAAAAAAAAACCTGAAGTAAAGTCATAGGAAGATGTAACAAGTAACGTGACTACGTTACTCATTACTCGAAATAAGCAACATAAGCACGTTATGCGTTACCTTTTTAAAATGTAACGAGTACGTTACTTTATTAAAAAAATATATAATGCGTTGCATGTAACGCGTTACCACAAACACTGATAAAAGGGGGCGTGTCTTAGACGTTACAGATACAAACTAAGAGAGAGGAGGAGATAAAAGCGATCCGCGCGAGGCTCTCATCTCCTCTTCTTCCTCTCTCCCTCAGTTTCAATCCGTGTACCTTTGTCATGAAGGATGCTATTTTTATTAGTATACTATGATACTACACTATAATATAATGCTATAATAGAGCTCATGGGCCCCTGCGTACTCAGTTACATAGTAATACAAAATTTGCAAACGAGACAAGAAGCAATTTACAGGTTACAAGCTGCTCGAACGAAAGCTTTTTTTCGTTGGCGAATTTCTTTTTGAAAAATAATTTGCGTCATAATAGTGCAGAAAACCGTATTCTAAGATAGCTTATTCTACCCGTATTTTAACAATATAAGGCGCTTTCCCCAGAAATTTTATATTTATTGAGACATTCTTAAAACATCATATGAGAAAAAAAAAAAAAAAAACAACATACGTTCATATTTTTGTTTTGAAAACTCTATTGGTGCGTGTTGCACCACGACGCACTGGTCACACCATGCAGGTACTAAAGTTTTTGTAAGTCAACTTCACCCCTAAACGAAGGCGATGGGAGAGATTATGATACTGGAGTTTTCTGGTAAACGGGGTGAACTAGTTTTTTTCTTTTCCTACTGAGAGGGGGTGACGACTTGTTAGGCTAATCAAAGGAATGCCAGAGACCGGCATTCGCAATATTTCGCGAGAATATCCACACAGAAAATAGGGCTGTGCGATTACTGTTTCGAATTGAATGGAGCAGCGTCATTCCCAGCTTCAACCCCCAAAAGGGCGGCTATGTCGTGGTTCTCCCTAAAGTGAAGGTCACGAATGACCCCGCGCTATTCAGTTCAACATAATATTCGCACACCTATAATAAGAAATTTTTGAAGGCTTATACTTAGGTTCACATAAAGCCCGACCGCCGCCAACGGTACCATCCGATAGAGTTAATAAAACAGCGGCAAAACTGCATCGTCATGGCAATCCTTGTCGTTGCGCTTTTGCTGTAACGTTACTAGAACAACTCAGTCGGAGAACTGCCATAAAGCCTGCTTTGAAAAAGTGACTCCGATCTGTACTCAAAAACCAAGCTAAAGGCGATCGCAACGCCGCCATTTCTCCCTCGGGGGTCACCCCGAGAACCACATGGCTGCACGTATTGGTTCAGGTCGAGTCGCGCAAGGACGGGTGGCGCCATCTCGCAGTGCCAAGTTGCAGTAGCTACATAAATTAACTTTTATATCTTAAGTCGTCGCTAAAGGGTGGCGCTGTCACTGTATTTAGTTTGGTCTCGGTGGACGCGAGCGTTCCGGGTTTTTAGCGTGAGTTTCCCAACTCAGCGTTTTAATAACGTTGGTTCGCTGTCTCCGGATAAACCAATTAAGCACACACAAAAAAAGCAGAGGATCATGCCGCATTCACTGTTTGTAATTGGTTTAGCCGGCGATAGGCAAAGGTACAAGAACGACAAGTACCATGACAATGCACTTATATGTGGATGACCGCGGCAATATGCGACTACGTGGCCTGATGATAAAAATAGATAAACTTATTTGGCCGAGTGATGACGCTTTGCACCGTGCCCACCTTGTTTCTGGCAACCGATAACCAGCACCGCTTGAGCAGAACGCCGAACTGGTGGAAACTGTTTGTCTTGAAGGAATAAAGTTTCATGGCTTCCGCCTTGGTCTGCAAAGAGAAAATCACTGCGTTGGTATTGGCTTTGTATCAGAGGAAGACATCTGCAAACCCCTAAAACACTTCATGTTTATCCTCAGCACGGCTCACAAAAAAATGTCCAGACTACAGCATAGCTACGTTTACGTCGACGTGGCTCCACGGGCTTCGCTCCTACAATTCCGAAGAGAAATGGCTCCACTGTACGCTACTGAGCACAAACCTCACCATATGTCTCCCATCATGGATCCAGAGCTCTTTTTTTTTTCTTTTCTTTTTTTTTTTAATATCAGCGCCCGCTAAAAGAAAGCTCCGCATGGTAACTAACGCACTTTCGTGCATTAGACAGCAATCGAATATTTATTTTATTTTTGTCAGCTCTTGAATTTTGTACGCCGCAACAGACTATAGATATAACTTTTAATGTACCTCATACATGTGTGAAGTGTCACTACCTGTTCGCTCATTATCTTTCCCCCGTAGGTTGTTCTCCGCTTCGAGTGGACGCTGCCGTTTTCTACGGGAACCGCCATCAGGAACTCCTTGGAAAGTTCCTCAGTGTAGTCACCGTAGTCGCCCGCCGCAATCTCGGAGACTGCGAAAGAAACGACGCTTGTATTTGGTCCATTGTCTGCGTTGATGTACGTGCGTATACATAGGCACGGCGGACAAGACAGCACGGCGGACAAGACAGCACGAAAGTTTCACTGTTCTTTATCATGCAGATTAGCGTATAAGGCATCAAGCCTAACCATCCATGTTTTTGCCACACGCGCACGTGGATTCTCCCCTACTTTATGTTTATTTATTTATTTCATATATCCTGCAGGACCCATGAAGGCATTACAGGAGGGGAGATGCAAATGAAGAAATGACATAAAAACACTTATATATAGAAAGAACATAATTTGCGTGCTACCTTGTGCTTCGATTGTACCCGTTTAGCCGTGAACCATATAATGCGTCGGTGATTTCTGTTGTCTAGAGTTGCCGTACCGCGCTACAGCCTCAGCTGAACTCAGCAGGCTAACGTTCAGCTTGATTGAGCGGGCTAACGTCCTGCTGAATTTACCGACCTAACCACGACTTTACGCTGCGATGTAATGTGACGTCACAGCGTCACGAGAATGTAGCAAGCAACGTGGTGTGACATGATGACTTGAATACATGAAGTGGAAACACAACACACCTTAGGGTCGCCTGATGTCACGTTGCCACGCCGCCTAAACGTACATATAGGTACGTCGTTATTGCATTCTGTGTGCGGGACGTTTGAGTGCAAAAAAGCGCTATAATATATGTATAGTTTAACTGAAAGGTTGTTATTACATCAACTGGTAAAGTCTAATGGGGTGATACGAGGCACACACTTGAGCGTTATATATTGGTGCTTGTCAGTGCCCTGTAATGCTCCATTACAGAATTACTGTAATGGGGCATTACAGTATTTAATGCACGCTTGCTCAGACACTTCAAAAATATTTACACAATGTTATAACAGTAATACCAACTAGAAAATGGTTTATTAAAAACTAAAAAACAAGGCATTTTTAAAATCAATAATACTGGTTATGGAGGCTATGTAAGCGGAAAGGCTATTCCAATCAGAGCTAGTGCGAGAAACAAAGGAGTTATAATAAGTGTTAGTTTTGTAATTGGGAATAACGACTATGTACTGGTGATCTACGCGGGATGAAACATAAGTAGGTGTCGCTAGAAGTTCACGGCGCATGAAAGGGTTATTTTGGTAAATCTTATGAAATAAAGCCAGGCGAAAAATGCGTCTACGGTTCATTAGTGTGGGTAAACCAAGGCTATTTTTCATTGAAGTAAACACTGGATGTACGATGGTAATACTGAATGTACGATGACTGCCTACAAGAAGTACTCTGGTGCACTTAAAGTATTTGCACCTCTCCCTATTTTTTTTTCTCTCCCTCTGTGATGTACTTTATTTTTTATTTCTTATTTCGTTTTGTTTTTAACCTTCTTTTCGTGATATAGCAAACCAACTGTAATATATGGTTAAAATCTTTGTTGAATAAATCATGATTTGTACCTCTAGCTCCCTCTTTCTCAGCTCAAGCTTTTTTTATTTTTGGAAATCATGCTTTCTGCAGCAGATACATGTGTACCACTAGAAGGAAAACAAAAATACTCACCAAAGTCTGCGGGATTGTGGTAGTTCGGGCAGTGGAGCTCATGCCGTGAGAGGAACCCTAAAAGGTCGTCCACGTGACCGTTGTAAATGCAACGACCATGGGATACCATGTACAACTGCAAGCAAGTTTAGAGGTTCGAATCAGAGAACGTCCACACTACTTACATGCACACGGGCTGAGTGACAAAGATTAGCACGTTTGGCAAGTCGTCAATATAAAGTAAAACATGAGTGAACCTAAAGCCCAGAAGCACCCTAGAAGCAGCAAATGCGAAATAGTTTATACCATTGCAGTTCACAAAGACAGAAGTACCCCTTAAAAATGATACCACTCAGTTATAGAGATATGAGCCAATGTTATGTTTTATTGGCTTATGATGTAGAAGTTGATGTTATAATTTGTAAAAGAGCTTTAGGGGTTCACAGCTGGTACCTCCGACCAATATAAGTGTGACATTTGTTCCTAATGCAGAGCATAATTCTGTTTGGAAGAAAAACGTTTTGTAAAGCTATGTTGATCAGAAATCAGAATGTTTTAATAAAGTTAAGAATATCACTTTGATCAAGTGTTCTAAAGTTTAAATGGAAAGCCAGGTTGTTAGATGGGCATGAAATTTTTAGGCGGGTGTTTGTCACCAGCTTTATGAAGGGTAACTACTTCTCGCTTTTAATCGCAAGGTTGAAAAGCAGTCCCAGATGATTTTTAGAATGTACGTCAAACTATGAGTAAGGATAGCTGGGAGAAAGTTTGAGCAGAATCGGTGACCGAACACAGGAGGAGATCATTTGGGGTTTTGCTTTGCACTGTAGGAATATAGTATAAAGACGTAATCCAAGAATGAAAAACGTGTGGTCACGCTTTTGTCAATTTGTATTCTTGGAGAGGTTAGAAAGAAGTGTTGATGAATATTTTAGATATAATTTAAGCCCACTGATTCCCCAATATAAATTTCCTTTCGTATTTTTAGCAAATAAGTATAGTGACATGGTAGTCCAGGGGCGTGGGAAAAGACGGGACGGACAACACAAAGTTCCAAACACTGCTGAACATATTGGACATATCGTCGTAAATATCATCATCATTCATCATCATTTATTAAAACCTTGAAGGCCATTGCTGGCATTACACAAGGTGGGTGTAACTGCTGAAGAAACATATACAGGAACAAACAAAAAAGTGGGTTACATGCTGGAAAACATTGTTATATAAAGCAGCAAAAACAGAAGAAAAAAAAACACTTAAAACATTTTTAGGGAAAAACAGCTGATGAAACAGAAAAATACCCAAATAAAACATTTCTATAAACACGAGTTGACTTTGCTATTAGTGTAAATGCAGATGGATGGTCAGTTGGGATATGAAAGTATTATAATCTGTCTGGGTCACGATACTGTTAGGCAGGCTATTCCAGTCCGTTATTGTGAAAGGTGCACATATCGCCGCAATACATAACATTACAAACTTGGCAAGGGATATTATATTACCTTAATAACTAAAATATAGACACCCATACATATCAGCGATTATTGTTTCATAACTTATGAGCGCTCTGGAAAAGAAAACAAATTTCACAAATGATTTGTCTGGTAAGTATATCAGAATTTTTATAAAGTATATAAGGTGTATACAATAAGTTAATATATGTTCTTATTAGTTTGTTTGGTGCCTTCATAACTTTTTTTTTTCACCCGCAAAAAAAAAAAATTAAGACACCCCAAAATAAATGAGTTCTTATTATGTTACTCTTGTTTTAAAATTATGCAACTCCATGAGGCATTTAGATTTTTTTTAAATAAGAACCATTTTGACACACAAGATAATAAATAACATTGCAGAAATGCAAATACTATTTAAAATAATGTCTACGCGTTTAGTTATCCTCAGAGCGCTCAAAAAGCCAACCACTACCACCCACGAAGTGTGCAAGAAACAACAACAAAGAAACAAATACAGACTGGACTGGGAATCACGCTAGACGCAGGGACAGTAAGCTTGCACATCGGCACGCCTATTGATCGTAGGTATATTTATGTTTCCAGCCAATATGTACCTCTGCACCTTGTCATTTAATTAATTAACCTCCGTAGGCCGCGTCGTTTAACTGGCTGTCAACGTGCGCCCCCCAAAAAATAGGCTGGCAGGCGTTTTTTGGAACGTACAAAGCGTGACTAAATCAAAACGAAGTACCGATTGCCTGTTTCTTTTACCTTTTCTTTTTAATGGAGAATTTAATAAAGCAAGGGCACATCCCTTACATCCTGTTTAACCTGTAACTACCTACGTCACGCCTTAAAACGAACAGGGGGGGGGGGGGGGGGAGAATAGCCGTATTGCGAATATCGCTCCCCACGTCATTAAAGTCGGTAACCCATTTAATTATCGCGCAAACAGGCGTTGCTCACTGCTCGAGAATACGGGTGGGAGTGCCACTAACTGGGCTTGTTATCAACTTGCGTGGTAAATGCTGACGTTTATAAGAATATTCTTATTCTTATAAATTCCCTGGTTAGGATTTACTGATATAACATATATATGTTATATCAGTAAATCCTAACCACGGGAATGAGGTGCCGATACTGTGTTCATGCTGGCCGCTGTGTACGTACGTAGTCACTTGCCATCGACATGCCTTAGAGAGAGCGACTTTTTTAACATACGTACTTTGTCGAAATGTGAAAAAATCTTCGCACTCGGCGTGTGAATAGAGCAGATGACGGTGTGTCCATTTTCGGCCATCTCTTTCATGATCTGGACGCACATCAGACTAGAAACGTTGTCCAAACCACTAGAAATAAAACAAAATAAAATTAGTTTTGTGTAAGAAGTCAATAAAAAAAAGGTAATCAGAACTTCCTGAGTATCTTTCTACGGGGCACGTTTTACTTATTGGACACGCAAATTGACACATGAGAACCCATACTAGAAAATGAGTGTCGCCAGACATTTATTGATTTATCGTGTGCTGAGGGCGAAAGGTAAGACATGACTATAGTTGGCAATAAAAAGCAATATATTCCCCTAAAATAATTAAATACAGTGACACTAAACTATGACGAAATTAGTGTAACTCTACAAAGCAATTTAAGAAAACCATTTTTTACCATTAAATTAGGCGCTCGACTTTAAAAAGGAGAAATCCAGCGATCCCTAAACATAACAATGAACGGAACGCAAGACGCAAAAGTGAGCTGGTATATACTATACATTTGAAGCCACCCTAGACTAAGAAAATACCAAAGTTGACACCAAGAGAAGGAGAACGTGTCAAAGAGAGCTGACAATTTATGGCGAACAGAACCTTTTATGTAAGGGTTAAAGCAACTGCAAGAAAGGGGAAGACTCTTAACCACTCACACCACTTTTGTTTGACACAAGGGACGGAAACAGCATCGGACCCTCTACAACGGGGTCACCTTAGGGGACTTTAACACGGATAACACGGGGAGAACGAGGCAGGTGATAGCAAACCGACACGGAGAACAAGCGCCGTTGCCGTCGGATGCGGGCGCTTTATGGCTTTCCCGCATGCGCGGAAAAAGGGAACCAATGGGAACCAGACCTCGTTGGCTCGTCGAGGAACACGACTGGAGGATTATTCACAAGTTCCTGAGCAATGGCGAGGCGCCGCCTCTGGCCGCCGGAGAGGGAGCTGGTTCGGGTTTTCCTGCATTCATCTAGACCCCACTCTTGAATAGACTGTTCAACCTGCAGTCCCAAATGAATAGAAGAAACAAAATGAAGCTTATTTGATTTAAGTTTAACTTACTAAAGTAAGCGGTCTTTAAAAAAATCCCATTAGTTTCACAGCACTGGCAGATATAAAAGGCATACGAACAGTCTACGTTAGCCGCAATACAAATGATTTGTGTTTGAGGGTTTTCACTTCTCCCGTCGAGAGGCGTCGGGATCCTCTTGGACTGTCTTCACGTAAACTGTTGTTTTATGTTCTTTTTTCTTAATTGTTCTTGATTGTCTTCTTTTTCAATACAGCTGTGTATGTGGTGGCCGGCTAGCAGGCGCACAAGCGTAAGGGTTGTAATCGTTCTGCTTATCCACGCACACTGACATGAGCACAAAATATCCTGCGAAAATAAAGTACAATTACAATTATAATTACAATTAATGTTAGGATGAGTTGCTTGAATGTTAGGCCCATGTTAACAAAAGTTTCGAGTTGTCTTTTCTTATTATTGCCATTTCTTTTTCTTTTAGAAAAAGTAACAGGACGCTACAAATGACGCTGTTCTTCAACGCGACCGCAGGTCGCGTTGGAGCCAAAGAATGACAAGGAAAATATTGATAGCATAAGAGCGGCGCATGCAAAGGGAAAGAGCCAAAAAAAAAAAAAAGATTACGCGAGACCGGGAGGCAGCAATTACATTCGTCAAGGTTGCGTCGGCCGTTAAATTGATGATGTATCTTTATTCTTCTCGCCGCCACCACGACGGCCGCGACACGGTATAGCGCAAAGACGGAGTTACGCAACAGGTGAAAGAGAGAGTGTTCGCCTCCTTTGACGCTAAATGCGCTTCGTTACTGCTCTCTGTTGACGGGGGAAAGGTATAAGCCTCGAGGCTCGAATGGACTGGGTTGTAGACGCTCTCGGAGGAAGCGAAGGTGTTAAGGCACTCCACCTTGTCCCTCTTGTCGTCCTTGTCGAGCATGGGCATGCGCAACTCGACGCTCATGGTTATAGCCTCCTCGACCGTGAGCTCTGGCAGTAGTCTGTCCTCCTGCATGACGTAGCAGCTCTGCTTATTGAACAGCTGCTGGTCTCGCACGTAGCCGTTGATCTGCACTTCGCCCTCGTAGCCCGTGTCACTGCAATAGAGTAAAGGGATTCGGGGGTTGATCTACCGTCGCGAAACAATCCACTGCCATCGTGGCTTTGATAGCTGACTGAGCTAGAGGTACGACGAAAACCTGTCTGCTCTTTTAGGGTGGAAAGTGACATAGGAAAAAAAATACCATAGCCTTACAACTATGACAATTTGTCTCAGCAGCTCGCAGTAAATTCCAAAGCTGTGCATTACCTAATAAAATATCGATGGAAAGTAAGGGGAATATTCAGCTGTCTTACTATTTCGTCCGATACGCTAAAATTGAAGCAATATCTGCTTCCACAGCTTTCGAAGTGGCTGACTTTTTACACCTACATTCTGCTACCGGATGGATCCCCAGGCCACCACTAGCGACCGCGCTACTCCCTTTGTCGCTAGAGTCCCCACTGAACTTTGTGGCCTTTTGAGTTCTGTTTATACTTGATCAGCAACCACCACCAAACAATTGTTCTCACCGAGTGGCTACATGATGCATTGGCTGACATATTTTCTATGACATTGTAGAAAATTACGATAGTTGAGACGCCATCTGACCCGACGTGACCACTCGTACAACAAAGTCGCCAAGCTATCACTCGTACAACAAAGTCGCCAAGCTACCACTCATTCTCCATATCTTTACACCCCAGTGAAACGTCCTCCTTGTCAACTTTGGCCACTTTTACCACAATGGGGACAACTCTCTTGATAGTTATGCTGGAGAAATATTGTGCCATGCAGGAGATGCCCGCCGAGACCCACGCGTCGGCATCTTGAGATCCCGACAAAAGCAAGTTCTCCGCTCCTCCGATAGTCCCATTATGACATCCCAGTTCAGGATAAGGTGGATGAGGAGGTACTCCCGTGGACATCGTCTCGCTTGCCTCGTATTTGTGGCGAACTGCTCAAAGCGTACCAGGGGCCAAACCGAATAATTCGACGGATCTCCGCCACCAACAAGAAGGGCGCCCCTGTTTCACCAGGTTCGGACCACCGATCAAAACGAACCAAAAGGAAAAAGTAGAAGACTCAGCCAAGTTTAGTGACGCCACCATCTTTCCACAAACCGCTATCACCTCATCAAATATACCTATTCTGAGTCTCACAAAGTTCTGATAAAAAGGAGGAGCACTTGTGAAAACTTCAGAATAGCCTAAAGGACGAAAGAAACAGGACGGGTCCAAGGTTTTTTCCTGCGTTGTTTCATTGTTAATTGACACCCGTCGGTAGCCCATCTGTACTTGTTTTTCTGAAGATTATTTATTTTATTTCACACAAAATCGAGACCGCAGAAAGAAAAAAAAAACAAAAAAACATTCAGTTGATACTTGTTTTAAACTACATTTTCTGAATAGGGGGCATCTACCAGAAGTGTGCAAGGGTGTTTAGCTCAGGTCTTCAACAATAAATAACCTCAATTGCCTCTGTAAGCGTTATATTTTTGACAGTTTTAACCACGAATGCGATGCACCGAACAAACTAACCAAGACTAAGCGGCATGGAACATATGTTTACAAAATTAGAAAGTGGGCGAGGGGAAGGGATGTTACAGCAGTTTTAGTGCAAAATACACCTTAGGTTTTTTTTCACAAATTTCGAGCATTCGAATTAAAACCCGCTACTTTTTTTCCGGAATGGTCCACAAGGATTAGTCACACGAATTACTGTTAGAAGGTCCACGTTTGACAGGGCTCGCAATGATCATATCTTACCTAAAAAATGTCTTTATGCAAGATGGTGGATGTTTTGTACGCAAGTACATAGGTGATTACAAATTATCCACCCTCCGGTTCTGTGAAATCTTCTGTTGGCCGAAGGTCGCTTCTCGTATGAGGTCGCTGTCTCTGTACTCACTGCTGTGCAGGTCTGAACCAGTTACGAAAGTTCAGATGTGACAGCCGTGTGAACGACAATGACTGCCCCTCTTATGATTTGCACGAAGAAAAAGCAGTGTGCAGCGATGCGTTTCTTGTAGTCTGAGGGTGTGTCTGGTTTTAATATTTTCCGCACAATATGAAGAAAATGTTTCGTCGCGAAGAAGTAAAATTGTCAGCTATGAAGAAGGAGCCGAACTCCTTGCGCATCTACGACTGATGACAATAATGAGCGTGAACTGATTCTTTCGGATAGAAGAGTGGCAGATGACGATGCGGCAAATCTTTTGCAAATCAATCAAGACCCAATTGCCTTTGAAATTGTGCCTGGACCTAATCCGCCACAAAGCTTTAAAAATGTTTCTGCGAGATGAATACCAAATTGTTTGTGCGGATAATTTATAAATATTCATCGTATTATATTAATGAGTAAATGACATATCTTGATAAAGAACGTAAGGAATTATAACTATGTTTTCTATGATGTATAAGAAATTTTCTAATCTAGTTTGTCAGGAAACTATTATGAGGCAGTCCATAATAAAAAGTAAACAAGGCCACAATAAAAAGAAAAAAAAAACGCACGAAAACACTAGCGCCAGCAAGACAGGGTACATGCAGCGCTTTAATAAGTAGCCAATTATCAACACTCCTTTGGCGCTTTTTCCTCACAAAACTGTCTTTTATAATTTTTTTTTTATTTCCGAATGGAATTCTTGGGAATATGTTTTTTTGTTGCTCGCCTTTATATGTTGAAACCTGCGTGATAGAAATGCAAAAAAAAGAAACAGTTATAGCTCTCAAAGGGCGACTCCTTAATCGCGGTTAGCAAATTTTAGAGCCCAAAATTAATATTTACACAAGCGGGCATTCTATGCGAAAGGAAACGCAGCAAATTTTTGTGTGTCGGACTTGGACTAAACAATTAATATTGTTGAAGGAGCGTTCGAAATTTCACCCCCCCCCCCCCCCCAAAGAAAAAAAAAAGAAAAATTGTTTTTGTGAAACACTTAATTTTATTTTTGCTGATAGCATGTTCTAAATGTCTAGAATTTGCAAAAAAAAATCCGTGTAGTTAGAAAATAACATATTGAAGAAACGGTTGGCTACCACACAATTTAGGTGGGTGCCTAGTACCATAATTAGGTAGTAAATCAATTACAGTAATTGAATTACTGTAATTTAGTTGCTTTTCTTGGTAACTTGTAACTCTAATTACTTTCGGCTAAAGTAAATTGTAATTGTAATTTAATTACTTTCTGGCGTCAGTAATTGCAAAATTTCAGGCGCATTTACAATTGCTTTTGCAAAACTTCGTGGCGCCGACAGAACCTGTCTGAAAGCCTCAGTGTTCGCACAAGCGGCCTAGCTCTCGGTGAAACACTCGCACAAAGTCACACACTCACACACAGGCACAACACGAATAGCGTAGCAATGTTTGTTGTTTTGTTGCTTGCACTGCGGGCTGAGAGGCAATCCTCTTTGGAGCCTACCTCAGCGGCGCCCTGTAGCGCCGTCTACGGTTCGAGCAGCAAACAATAGCGTAAACATGCCAAAATATTGAAAGATAAAAAATTTAGCTTCAGCTTTCAGCTGAGGTTGAGCATTTTAATTATCTATGGAGTTACTGTCTTTCTTTTTTGGCAGTCCCTCTTCCAGCACTGTCGCATATTTGTATCTTTGTATTATTCTCAAGTTTATTTTCTTTTGGTTTCACTTCGGATATTATTTGCATACGCATTCGGGAGACTGACCTTCCACCTGTGAATATTGACACAAGTCATTCGGGAGCCCCGCTTTGGTTCTTATATACTTCTGATCCATTATAAGTTCTGCTCAATGTAAATAATTGCAATACCACGATGTTTGTACGTGAATACGGTCATATTAGCGCGCGTGGATTTAGTTTTATTTTAACACTTGTAAAATATTCATATATGACTAATTGTCGCATTTCTCTTTGCCTGGCTAACAAAAGTCTGTCAACCCAATTATTTTCTTTAGCGATCTGGCGTCTTCCAGCACATGAACTAATTTATTATTATTTATTAAAAATATAGAAACGTAGTACTTCATTGCCTCAAACTGTCAATTTCTATAAAGAATTTAGCAAAATTAATAAAAAGAAAGTGTAATACGTGACATTTATGCAGCGATGCTTAAGCCTCATCAAACATTGGGGCAAGGAATAAACAAATGTGTTGCACCCTATACAACCCGTTTAAAGTTATATGGCCCGAGTCGGGTCGCTCTTAGAAGTAAGTAATTGTAAAGTAATTGCGTTAATTTTTAAAAAAATAATTTGTGAATGTAATTAATTAGTTTTCATGTAGTAGTAATTGTAATTGTAGTTAAACTACTTTTGAAGCCAAGTAATTGTAATTGTAATTAAATTACATTTTGGGAGTAATTTACCCATGTATACTAACTTCCTAATAACATTCCCTATGGTTCTAGAAAATACAAAATATTAAAGACGCCGTGTTGAGTCCAAGCAGGAGCACCAAGAAGAGGACACCTTATGATATTTCTTTATTTTTTCTCTTAGTCAACTTGAAGTTGGGTGTTAGCTACCATACGTTTTTGTTTGTTTTCATAAAACTATTACTTAAATTGCACGTGTTACATTTTTAAAGCCACGTTTTGTTGGGTTTTAATTAAATGAAACATTCTCTAGTTTATGCAGAAACGACCCTATAGATTGAGGGCCAGAAAAAGCAATGTGGGCATCGGTGCCCGCAACTTCCAAAATACCCAAAAGTTTAATCCACCTAATCTCTTCAACATATCAAACAATTAGAAAAGTACTTGTTATTGCTAAGAAATATATGTTTTCTTTTTTTAAAGGAACCTTTCCGACCATGCCTCCAGACGCCCACATTGTACGCCACGCACTCCGGCGTTCGCCAACAAGGCGTCAACGGTGTGAGACGCCGCCGCTAGGTCTTTAACGCTCTACTGAAAACACTTTATTCACTTGAAGTGGGCGTTATTCTGACATCCACGCATCCGCATCCTCTTTATCTTATGTAATAATACTGACATCTTAATTTCACTTTACTGCACAGGTAACTGGCGACGAGTACAGGCCTTCATCGTCTGCCTCCCGAGTTTGGGAATGCATTCGTCACGCCAGAATTTACAACATAATCTTTCTTTCGATCGCACTCGCGGCCGCGGCCGCTACCACGGCCACGATGAAGTGGACGATAAAAAAAAAATGCGGATTCGGCTCCATGGGAGTTTTGACCTGAACCCCAAACGCGCTCCCCACATTCGCAGTTGCGCCTCATGTTTAAAAAAAATGCTTCTTGTCAATGTCACTTTTCTTGTCTCAGTTAACGCACTCAGCACCTTGGAACTCCCCTTTTCCGCCGATATCTTACTATTGTACATTCATGTACTTTTAGCATCATCCAGAAGCAAGAAAATACCTGCCTTCAAGGTCATCCCAGCACATTCTTACTTCCTAACTTCATCACGGGGGGAATATGCGTCGCTGGCGGCGCCGCCGCTTTCGGCGCTCCACCCCGGCTCCCGCCGGCTCCTCAGGAGCAGGAGTCAGGTAAATGGGAGGAGCCGCTCCTCCCATTTACCTGACTCTCTCTACACACGGCTCTGCTGGCAGCGTACTTAAAGCTCAAGTTGAATTTTCAAATCCTAAAGATGGCATAATATACCCTTGTCAAAAGCTCGCGCCATCTAAAGCCTGCTGTGCAAAACATATCCGAGTCTGCCATTGTTTGAGCACGTACTCAGAGTGTGTATTGGACAGTGAGCTATGCGTCAACGTTCGGCGCACGCGCTTCGTGTTAAAAAGATGGCGACCTCCAATGTTACTCGACGGGTTTCTGAAAATGGTCTATTGCGCCCACTCTGCACTATGAACCAAGATGGCGACGCCCGCGAGAAAATCGCGGTAGGAAATGCCGGTACCCTAATCCTAGCTTCTTTAGTGGCTCTAATGAGTCCAATATAGTATGCTCGTGGCATGAGTGTCGTTAAAAATGCGCAGCCCGCTGGGACCACTCACTAGAATCCGCTGAGCAGGTTCAGGAGCGTCGTCTTTCCCGCTCCCGACGGTCCCATGATGGCGGTCAGGGTGCCGGGCTTCGCGATGCCGCTCATGTTGTTCACCAACGTCTTGGTCTCTGCACAGACATGGTGCCCCTTCAGAAACAGTGCAACCGATGGCGCTTTACAGTGATTATACTCCATCTAACCTTTCGTTGAACCGCAGCGGACCAGCCATCCCCCTAGCCCAGCGCTGTGAGAGTGTCACGTGACTTGGCGCTTCGAGGGTCACAACTCTGGAAGATCTCCTGACACTCTCACGGCACTGGATTGCCTCCGATGGCCCTCAGGCCGCAGTCCCATATCGTACAAAAAGAGAGACCCCAGACACTTTTCGAGGAGCGTTTCTTCCTTCTATTACGATCACAATGGTCGTACAAAAAACTGTCGGCAGACATGTTAGAAAATGACATTTGTATGAAGCAAACGTACTTGAAACGCGCTTGAGGCATGGCCGCAGGTAAGTCTATCATTATGTCTGCAGCATGATGTTCGACCATTGGGACTGCAGCTTTGGTGTTCGCTGAGATTTATCATAAGCTTACCAACAGTGAGTGTATATACATATAAAAAAAAGATAAAAAAACGCTGTCATTTAACGAGCACACCTTTCTTTTTTCTTCTTTGGGAGCACAAAATCAGGCAATGAACTCTTAATGGCAGCTATGTTTTACGGCCAGGTATTTTAAACACATTAAAGAAGCTGTGCAACGATTTTAACGTTGAAAGAATTGGCATCTTCTATTTTTGACATTGTTCAGCTTGTCACAAATGACAGAAAACACACCTCCTTTCATCGAAATGTTGCGATCCCGCAGCGTACTAGCGAGGCAAAATTAGAATATTCCTTGACCTGCAGCCGCGAGCGGCGGCCATGAGAAACACGCGACATGACGTCAATGAGGGTCTTAGAGAAAGATAGCAAGTTGTGCGACTAGCTGCTCTATAAAAGGTAACTTTTCTATAAATCTTCTCGTTCCAACATAAATATAAATCCGTCAAAAACCTGGTATCATCGACAAAGCGTTTATTAAATGGAGTTTTAGTAGCGCCATCTATCCTAGGTCCACAAAACCGTCAGCTCTATCTGCCATATCTGCTACCGCGAACAGCCGCCAGAAGCCGGAGGTGGAGGGGGACAGGGCCTAACGGGTATGGCCGGACCCGGATGAGACTTTCCTCCTTCCACCGTACTCTTCGCACTGCGCTCGCCAGCACGTGGTGACGCGGTCGCGAGCGGATGAGTTCTTGCTACTCACGGATCGCTCTAGAGAGAGAACGTTACCGGAACCCCGCGCCTACCCCATCGACGTCACTGCGCACGTGACCCGGAAGACGATGTACGAGTTGAGGAGTGGCAAAAACCTGGATCTTTTTCATTTTTGAAAATAAAAACTAGGATATCCAGGCAAAATCTCTTTTAGCTCACTTCAGAATTGTTGGACAACTCCTTTCTTTAATGTCGTGTTACTGGGCATGATATGCATAGAGAAAAGAAAGCGAGCTCTGTTCGAAGTAAAATGAGGTTTTGCTCAGGCCGTACAGTTTGCAGCGTATAGGAACGCAATGTTGCAGAGATCCCCGTACATCTATTGACGACACTAGCGAAATCGACGGCACCTAGAGGCAAGAGCAGAAAGCTGTGGCGGGTTCGTTTTCCGGTCTTTTCGGGCGAATAAAATATTCACTGCGTCTGGCGGGCAAAACGCGAAGTCGTGAAAGTACAGTTCAGGAACACATAATGGAAATCTTCAATAGCGGCTCTCCCCGTGTCCCGCGTAAAATTCTTTAGTTGTGAAATGAGTACGAGTTTACTACTGTGTTGGAAAAGGCGCGGTTCAGAAAATAAAACACAAAAAAAGCTTGTCTAGCGTTTACCATTTTTTAGACCACCTGAGACTGGGTGGAAGCTTGATTTTCACCGAACCAATCAGAGCATAGAAGAGAGCCTCGTGACAGTGTAGCTTCAGTGTGCACAATTCACGTAGGAAGCTCTCAGATGTTTCGATCTGTCTCTCTGATTGGCTCAAGGAGCCCGTAGCGATCACATTTTGCCAAGTTAAGCTTAAACGGAGCTTCACGTATTTTTTAACGAAATAAACATAGCGACCTGGAGGAGTAAAAGAGACGATTAGTCAGTTACAATAAAGCGCCTGTCGCGACAACCTCTGGGAGTAGTTTGCGTAAATTCCGCAACACGACGAACTACATCGTTTGAAACTTCGAACAGGGAGTGACGAAATTGCTTGTTCGCAAGGATATCCCTCCTGATTGATCCGACTCTCGATATCTAAAACACTTAAATGTTTACGTTTTTTTTTTTTTTCTCGGTCATAGACGTTTTTTGCGCATCACACTTTCGATCAGAAGACTTATCCACGGAAACAAGTATGAACGAGACGAAAACATGACGTTGTTAAAGTTTACGAGGGGGACAAGCTGAGCTACTTGCTTATACCATGGGAAGAACCAGCTGAACATACATTTACAGGAAGGTTTATAAAGATGAGAGGAGATAGAGAAATGCGCAAACAACCGCTGGACTACCAACTGTTTTGATAATAAACTTCTTCGTGTATTTTTGCTTTTTCTTCTGCTTCATGCGTTTCTTTATAATATTTAATTATTCTGCTCGTATTTCGAATAATTAAAAGGGCTGCAGCTTTGCAAAAATATTCTGTTTCTGTGGTTTAGCGAAACTGATGGGGAACTAACGCAGAATGCTGAGGCATCCCTCGTGTCCAATATAGGGTCAGAGTGTGTGAGCAAGCAATGGCGGAGAGGCGATGATGCGGACTTTTGGAAAGGGTCTATTGTGGGACCAATATATAGTGTGACTTAAACACGCTCGATCTACAATTGGTCGTAAAAATCGCTGCCTGCACCTAGCAGTCTATCCTTTTCGTCAAAGGTGTATTTCACAGGTCGATTTTTTCTTGTAAAACTACAAAGCGTAGCTCCCTGTCTGTAAAAAATAGGGCGATACACCTTGCCAGGGTCAACGGCAGACGGCGACGCAGACGACCGAGTCGAGTGGCGGGGTGCGTTTGGCGCACGTATTGATAGATGGCGTCGAGAGCAGCGTCGGAAGTTGTAGCCGACCAGCGAAAGAAAGCAGACGACACGCAGATGAAATCCGTCCCCAAGGAGCAGGAACGCCGTTATTGTGCAACCGCGTTTTTTTTTTTTTTCAACTTCAGGTTTTGTTTTTATTGTCCTCATTTATTTTTAAACCAAAGGAGATTTTGTTCATTTTAGTAGATCACCATCGTCGCGAGCAGTCTCGATAAGGAGGTAGCGCCATCTATCAATACGTGCGCCAAACGCGCTTGCCGCCCGACTCTTCGTCGCCGTCTGCCGTTGACCCTGACAAGTTTTTTGGCACCATCTTTTTTACAGAAAGGGAGCTACGCTTTTTAATTTTACGAGAGAAAACCGACCGGTGAAATGTACTTTTGAAGAAAAATTTAGATAGCTATGTGGGGGATCCGCTTTTTACGGCCCATATTAGTTAGAGCCTGATAATTTCACTCACCCCATATATTACTTGCAAAAGTCTCAAGTTGTCTTAAGTGCAAGAGAAGGCGCAATATCGAGAGTGGCGAGTATGTGGCTCTGGAAAAAGTATAACTCTCAAGAGTATTCATGCCCGCAAATGTTTTTCAGTGCGTGTAAACTAGCCATTCAAGATAGCACAAAAAACACGAAAATCGCAGCAATATTCAGGTATATAACTGATTTCCTAATTCTGTGTACTACGGAGGTTGACACACAAGCTGTAGGGTGCCTCAATACCATCCTCGAACTTTCCAACAAAGTTAAATGGCTCACCTTCACATATAAACTTCCCATCAAGAAAACCATCAAATTTCTTAATTTAGCTTTAGATAAAAAAAAAAAAAACATTTGTTGGAGGTACCAAGCCCGATTAGGTAAAAGTTTAATCTCCTATAAATGTGTACGTTCTGAAATTATTAAGTAGACTCGTTGCCATTACAGCCCTGTCATTCAGCATAAACAAATCATATGTACATCAAATTACACGAAGCTTCGAGACACAAGTATCAGACTTCAAGAAGTTGGCTACCCAAGATACGTACCGGCCTCCATAGGTGAAAGATTACGCCACAACGTCAAAAGGACAAATGATGATTAAGACCCCGCAACACAAAAAAAGACACGAAAACCTTTTGTGGTGGTCTCACATATGCACGGGATCACCGACAAATTGAAAACGAAGATTGCGAGCCAACAAGATGCGCAAGTGGTGTGCTCGGCGCCTAATAAAGCATATTCGATGTGCCGCAAGGCGAACCAGGCACGAATCAACAATAAAAATGAATGCGGCACAAATCATGGGACAAAATACGCCCCGTCCAATAAGGAAGTGATCTACAACATTCGCTTAACATGCGGACATTGCTACGTCACAAAAACGGGGCGGTGCATCAACGAAAGAACACGAAACATTAAAATAACCGTAAAAGCTTCACAACAACAGGACACTTGGCAGCTCATTGTCGTGAATGCACGTGCAATGCCGAGCTCAATCAAGTCCCCATCTTAGGACGCCACAGAAACATTGTCGCACGGAAGATGTTGGAGGCCCTAGCTAGTGCCACTAAATAAGCTACGCTTCAGAGTAACGACACTTGTCCATATTGTGTCTTCAAATCGTGATTCCCAGTTATCTCAAGGTTTGTCTGAAATCACAGAAAACGCTGTTCCGTCCTCCACAACTGTTCAAAAAGCTCGCTGCAAAATAATCAGATGAGCTTTTGAACACGGAATCTAATTAATGCGGAGGAAGTCGCACTTTTGAATCATGACGATCGGCAGTTGCGTCTGCTCTGCACAAGCACCAAAATGGTGGCGCCCACAACGATGTCCGGGAACAGAGCGCCGATAGTCTAAGCGCTGCTCATTTAGTGGCTCTAGCCCTAGCCATAAAAGAGAAGAAATAAAATTTCGCTAGCTACTCATAAGGCTCGCTAAACAACAACTAAAACATTCCTGCAAGGCTACGGCCATTTTAGTGATTAGAAATACAAGAAGGAGGCGTATAGGTA